CTCCCCCCCACGTTTCGAGGCAAAGGGGTAAACCCAGCAATAGATTTAATAATGAATTTGACCATTTTTTGGCGGGCGTGGAAATTTGATTTCTGGCCTCTACTTGGGGTTTACACCCCTGGCCTAGATTACTGGAGTCATCTACTTGGGGTTTACCCCCCTTGGTTTTTGATTGTAAGAAGAGAGATGGCACATGTTTTAAACCCTAAAAGGCGGAGCGAACGCCGGGTGGGAGCCGCCCACAAGCGGCGCGGGAGGGAAAAATAAAGGATGCGGAAGACAACCCCCGGAAACGAGTGCCGCGGTACTTGTGCCCAAGCGGCGACGAAGACATACGACGAAACGAACCTCCGGCCGCGCCCTCGGTACAAACCCTAAACCCTAAACCCTAAACTAAAGCGAGCGATGTTGTCCGCGACGCTGAGTGCCGGACATCGAAAAGAATTGAGATGCAGGAGCCTGACAAGGTGAGCACAAAGAGTTAGCTTTGTGCTCCGTCCCGCATTTGTATCCTTACATAAAGGGTGCATGCGCAGATTGCGCTAAAATAATATAATGTCTTATATTTTATTCCCCTAAACCCCGAGGGTTTGGACCGTAACCAGGCTGTGAAGTCTTAACTTGCAGGTTTCCTGCCTCCCTGGTGCCTCCCAGGCTGTCCAAATAGTCCTTTCCTGCCTCCCTGGTGCCTCCCAGGCTGATGGCTTTCTGGAGCCTCCCGGGCTATCCAAGTGATCTCTTGGTGCGTGCGGGCTGTCGACGTGGCCTTTCAGTGACTCCTGGCTGCAAGCAGTCAGAATCCACCCTTGCCGTGGCAGATTACTGGAGGCATCTGGTCTTAGGCCTGGCAGAACCCAGCCCTGCCTTGGCAGATTACTGGAGTCAGCCGGTTTTGCTTTTGGCAGATTACTGGAATGGCTATTGCCAAAATGCCCCCAACCAAATGCCTACGATCATATTCGTAATTTTTGCTTCGATTGCAAATTTCTGGGTCATCTGGCCCTGGGATTTTCCCCTTGGCAGTGCCCCTTGCCTGGACTTTAATCAAGCCAAATGTTTCTGCTTCAATTGGCTACTGCCAAACTGCCCCCAACCAAAAGCCTAGGGCGACATCAGTAGTCCCTATTTCAATCGATTGCAACCAAATAAATACCTGCTGTCATCTTATGGTCCTTGCTGTAATTGGCGACCGCCAAAATACCCCCAACCGAAAACCAACATCCAAACCCAACTTGTAAAATGAGCGCAGCTCTACCCGCCCGGCCCAGGGTTTTCATAAAAAAACCCTAAACCCTAATAGATTACAGGTTTGGGTGGTCTTGGGGTGGGTTGTAGCGTCCAGCTACGACGCGCCGCCCCGCGACCCTTTGGGTCGAGGCGCGTCGTTTCCCAATGGAAACCCTAAACCCTAAACTAAAGCGAGCGATGTTGTCCGCGACGCTGAGTGCCGGGCATCGAAAAGAATTGAGATGAAGGAGCCTGACAAGGTGAGCGCAAAGAGTTAGCTTTGTGCTCAGTCCCGCATTTGTATCCTTACATAAAAGGTGCATAGCGCAATCTGCGCTTATAGTTCATACTAGTATATTCTATTACCCTAAAACCCAAGGTCTGGACCCGGAAGGGCTGCTAAAGTTTTTCCTTGCTGGGTGTATCCTCGAACCTCCCAGGTGCCTCCCTGGTGCCTCCCAGGCTGTCCAAATGGTCCTTTCCTGCCTCCCTGGTCAGTATTGCCTTTAACAGTTCCTGGTGCCTCCCTAGCCGACCGTGGGGCCCACCCCAGGATTTGCCGCGAACCGGGCCGGTCGCCATTGAAGTTATACTAAAATTCAGACAAAATCCGGCGCCCGTCCAAAATCGGGAATCGACCCGGGTGGCCAAGCCACGAGGGCCTTTAGAAGAGGAATCTGTGCCACGAAAGGCCTTTAGAAGAGGATCCTGCGCTACGGACACCCGGGAGGCTGCAGAAAAGCACTTGGACACCGGGGAGGCAACAGGGAGCAGGAAAGGACCATTTGGAGCCTGCGAGGCACTGGGAGGCACCAGGGAGGCAGGAAAGGACCATTTGGGACAGCCTGGGAGGCGCCAGGGCCTGCGAGGCACCAGGGAGGCACCAGAGACTCACTGGGAGCTCTTTGCCTTTAAGCCTTGTCCAGTTCAAAGACGGGGTTTAGGATTATAAAATATCTATTCAACCCGCAGTGGTGGCTCAAGCTTAGGGCTAGACGAGCACGCTCCGCAGCCTAGCTCCGCGTGCCGTCCGCCTCGCTGTCGCTCGGGGACGCCCGCCACCTAGAAAAGAGGGTGGCGGGCGGGTTTAGGGTTTAGGGTTTAGGGTTTCCATCTGTCAAGCGGCGCGCCTCGACCCAAAGGGTCGCGGGGCGGCGCACCGCAGCGTTACGCTTCAACCCACCCCAAGACCACCCAAACACATAATCTTTTAGGGTTTAGGGTTTTTTAAAGGAAACCCTGGACGGGCGGGCATATTTTCCACCATTACAAATAAGCGCATCGAAGAAGAGTTCAATAGGTTTGAGGGTTTAGTGTCAACTCCCATGCTTGTGAGGCCGGGCTCGCTAAATTCCACCAATAACAGTCCCACGGATTCGTCCTAAAATTCCACAGTTTTTTGAAGGATCACAAGGACGAGCTCTTTGCTGGTGGATTTGGAGGCTTGGCTTGGTGGAGGCCGGGCTCGCTAAATTCCACCAATAACAGTCCCACGGATTCGTCCTTAAATTCCACCGTTTTTTGAAGGACCACAAGGACGAGCTCTTTGCTGGTGGATTTGGGGGCTTGGCTTGGTGGAGGCCGGGCTCGCTAAATTCCCCCAATAACAGTCCCAATTAAAAAAGTAATTGTTGATAGGCTAAGAATAAATAAAGATAAGACTTGGATAGATATGTATTCATATGTGATAAAGGTGCCAAATGATGCAGAATTTTCGTGGTAGCAATTTTTGATCATGGGCAGAGGCAATCAAGGTTGCATCCTTTGCGCACAGATAAGAAACCAATTGCAACTCCAGACTGTGTTGGAAGCTACCATATCTTCCGGACTGTATCCGAATAGGGACCAATGGTGAAAGGATAATTTTATGAATAATCAGAGTTTTAGCATGAACAGTTTGGAGCAAGGGCGTAAAAGTACGGCAGAATAGATTAATAATGGCTAACCTAATACCTTGAAATATTCCATTACAATATCATAAATACCATCAATATCGTTATTTTCCATTGACACTATATGACATTTTTTATTAAATATGTCTATATATCTCAAGCCAAAAATAGGTTAATATTTCTATTTCATTTTTAATATCCCTCAATAGATTTGTTGTAATTATCAAATCAAATTGAAATTCATATTTAAAATAAGGGGCAATATAAGAATTAAGATTCTTATAATTTCTTGTTTATTTGTTTGCCACTATGAAACCATATCCAAAGTTATGCCTACATCGATTTTCCTAGCCTTTTCGTACAAGTCCCTCGCCGAACCGAAGCCCTCCTCCACATCGTAATATATTTTTTCCAATACCTTTTCTTTTACCAATTTTTCTTTTGCCAATCTTATCACTAAAAAAACTTAAATTATATTTTTATAGTATTTTCTTACATCATAAAATCATAATAAATTTACACTAAACACCTTTGGCACTTTTTGGTTTTCTTATATTTTACCAGATTTGACTTGCAATTCATAGCAGAACCGCATATATCGCATACGCACGGTCGTTTCGTCTTCTCTTGGAAATATCTTTGGAAATATTATTCATCGTTCGGTTTTCTATTGTAGTATCCGTCGTGTTACCTTCTTCATTAGGGTTTTGTGGGCCTTTAGACTAATGAAATTGCTTCATAGCTTTCTTCAAACGAAGAAGATGTTTCGCTGTCATTAAGTTCTTTATTACCAAAACCGTTCCAAATAAAAGCAAAGGTTTCATTCGTCATCGGGATTTCAACTCCATTACTTACAAAATAACAACGTATATGGTATATATAATTACCTATATATCTTAATATTTATTTGAATATGTTCATCCTCAATAGGAATTATGTATATCAGTTTGTGTTTGTGGTATCGCATACAAGTCCCTAACACGAACCCCAAAACAGTTTCGATATCAAAGTTTATAGGCTTGAGCATTTTACCCTTCCAACTTCCCACCGGTTGATTTACTTTTAGTGACATCCAAACCCAAACATGTTTGGCGTTCAAAACAGTGAGACTTGAGCTTTGTCGCAAGCCAATCCAAAAACCAAACCAATTTCGCCCAAATCGAGCCAGTCTTTCCCTAAAAGCGAGCCAGTCTTTCCCTAAAACAGAGCCAATTTTTCCCCAAAGTCGGTGGCTGATTTTCCCAAAGTCGGTGGCTGATTTCCCCAAAGCCGGTGGCAGAATCGGTGACGGATTTCGACGGATTTCCACAAAATCGAAGGCAGATTTTCCCAAAGCTGGTGACGGATTTCCCAAAATCGGTGGTTGATTTCCTGAGAGCCCAGCCTCGTTCACCGGAACCCCAACTCCCGAAGCCAAAAATGCAAAAAACACTTTTGTACATACTTGCTCAAAACACAAAAACAATGAGGGATTTCCAGCCCGCAATCCACTCGTGGAGCTTGCAGGAAAACACAACCGAGGGTGAACCTGTGGATTTCTCAAAAGAACTGCTCCCAAGACCAATTGGTCGGAATTTCTCAAAATTGTCAATACTTTTCCCCCTTCTTGCTTAACCCTGTCAAAGGCACACCAACTTTGTCCACTTCTTTTCCACAAATGTTCAATATATATTCCTCCAGTTTTCTTTTCAAGTTTCTCTCAGGAAAGCCGGTTCAATATCAAGCACTTACCTTCTCCCACAATGCATGGTTGGATTCGTGGCTGTGCTTGGGCGTATACATTGCCCGAGTGAAACGTATCTTGAACAGCTTTTGGTTCACTGTTTCTTCACCCGCTGTGTGCACAACCTGCTGGACAAGAGTGTCAACGCAGTGTCAAGTCTCATATCTTGTGAGTGATGCACGGTCATGCCACAGCGACATCCACTCTACATTTACTCCAAAGATGGAATTCGTTGAAACTATTGGGAACCCTTGCTCTCAATTGGTTTCACCTCAGCCACAGAAGGGCAAGACAAGTGGAACGCTAGGCGTAACGCTGCTGAGAAAAGCACTCACACTGATGGCAATGTGAAGCCATAGCAATCTGTCCTTAAAACTGGAGGGAAAAACACAAACTTGAAGTGTGGTCAAACCAGCTGTTTCTCGAACCAAGCGCAACTCAGAGGCGGCAAAAAAACAAAAATACATCAGAAGGTTGTAACATTGACATCAGTTTGAAGCCCTGCATGGTTAAAAACTGCTCAAAACAAAACACCAAGTGCCGGGCTCATCCGTGTCGCGAAGGCTTGCCGACATCTTTTCTTCTTTTATCCACTTTCCATCCTGCCATGAGCAAACTGGTAAACCACAATGCTGCAAAGGCAAGTTGAGACGGTGGTGTGCAAGGGGTTGGGTGAGGTGTTGTGAAAGAAAACAATTGGACAAATTCACCTGACCAGCGATTGACAAAAGAGTGAAAAGTGAAAAGTGAGCAAAGACATTGCAATGCAAAGCGCTGAGTCGAGCGAACAAACGCTGAGAAATTGAAGCTAATACAACTAGCAAAACAGTTGGTGGCATAAACAGCGGCTCGTCCTGTTGGCTAAAAATATCAATTTCATCTGCGTCACACTTCACTTTGTTCGGCTTCTCTGCCTTAATTGCCTCACGGCAAAACGACAATAACCACCATGCACTTGCACACGCGTTGAACAAAACATGTTCTGGCTTTCATCGCTGCCTGCTTTGTTTGTCTTCTTCATTCAACTTTCACCAAGGCACAGCATCAAGTTTGATTGAACAACAACAAGCTCTGAGCTCTGGACTTTCTTCAAATAGGCAATATTGAAGGGCACTGGGTCAATTGGGAAAGCGTTGCCAATCTGCTCGAATGTATCACCATCCTGCAATTGCAACAGGCGGTGGGCGACAGCCGATGGCTGCGCCTTTCGAAAAGCAAAGTGCAAAAGAACAATGCGCATGACAAGCAATGCATTACGCAAGAATTTTGACCTTGGGATGCGAAAATGGCTGAGGGAAATTTCTTCATGAAGTTTCAGCTGAACAAACCACTTCTGTTCTTAACCTACCACTAGTCAAAGGCTTGAAAAGAAACAAAGGCATAAACTGTTGCATTGACTTTTGCAAATTACAAGCCTTTGATGCTTGAGTGGGAGAACTGATGGAGCACAACCCTATCTTTATTCACACGACCAATCAACACCGGTTTTCGCACAGGAACTTTGCAGAGGAAGAAACAAAACAAACATAGGGATGTAAAAACAAGGTTGCTTGTTCAACGGATGCAACTTTCAACTGTCAACGTCTGTTGAGGTGGGACTTTTTTGGCTTTTCGTCAAAAAGTTCTTCCTACACCTGTCAAAAGGGCATAGCAAAGGAACAAGGGCATGGCAGAAAACATACAAAGTCTTAGTCTAAATCCTCTCTATCAAATTGCGGAAGATGTTGAGAAAATATCATTCAACAAATCCTGAGGAATAAATACGCTACTGCTTGCTTTTTGTGCATAAAACATTTACTTCCCTCAAAAGAACATGGCAAAGGAACAAGCAAAGGGCAAAGAAACAATATGTTGCGTCTAAGTCCTTTCGAAGTTGAATATGACAACATCCAAATAAACAACCATGCAATCGCCCCAACCGTGCTGAAACAAACCGTGACAAGGCAAAGGATGCCAGAAAGAAGGCTGAACAAGCCACTTGTATTTTAACCTAACACTAGTAATCCAAAGGGAACAAAGGCATAAACTGTTGCAGTGGCTCTTGCACATAACAATGCGTTTGACGCTTGAGTGGGAGAATTGATGGAGCACACGCCTACTTTTATGGACAAGACCAATCAACACCGTTTTTAGCACACGAACCGTGCAAAGCAACACATGAATGGAACTAGGGATGACAAGGCTGCTTGTTCAACACTTGCTGTACCACTCAAAAGGCGAGATGTTGAGGTGGGAACAGTCAAAAGGACATAGCAAAGGAGCAAGGGCATGGCAGGAAATCATACAAAGTCTTTAGTCTAAATCCTCTCTATCGATTGAAGGAAGATTATCAAAATACATGTTTAACAAATCCCAAGGAATGAACAACCCTGCAATCTTCTTCCGAAAAGTCCTGAACCCTTCCAAGTTTGTCGCATGACGGTGTATATTTTTGCGCAGTGGACTTACCCTTAATCACGCTTTTAGTTTGGGGCATGGCTTTTCGTCTTCAAACTCAACCCTTTCCAACCGTGTGCTACTCGCATTTACTTACCAAAGGGCATAGCAAAGGAACAAGGGCGTGGCAGAAAATCATACAAAGTCTTTAGTCTAAATCCTCTTTATCAAATTGAGGAAGATTATTAGAATACATATTTCATAAATCCTGAGGAATGAACGACCCTGCAATCTTCTCCCCAAAAGTCCTGAACCCGGCCAAGTTCGTAGCATAACAGTGTATTATCTTGCACAGTGGACTCACCCTTCATCACGCTTTATTTTGCGGGACAAGAGCATGAACCTGAACGAACGGCGATAATAATCTTCAACCGAACTGTCCGAAAGTCATCAGTGCACTGCTTTGGTCAGAGCAACGACTTTGCTGAAACAAAATGTTTTTTACACAGTCATTGAATGCACTTCTCTGCAGTCCTTGCGGATTTGTCTCACCCAAACGGCTGGTTGTGCAGTCCCAGTACCACCTTGCAGGGAGGAGGTATGGATGCTTGCATCGCTTTATCTATCAACCTCATGATTGTGCACCTACAGTATATAAACCTCAACAAGTTTATTCAACCTCTGTCAGCCTCCTTGTGGAACAGTGTAAGCAAACAGAACCAAAAAAAACAGTTTCTGAAACACCGTCCTGATGTTGGCAAAGGAATTTGTTGGAGCTTACGGGCAATCAGCAGCTTCATATGATAAGACGAGGGGATGACAGCCCATTCCGTGTCTGCGCCAGTGAAGATGGTGGGTAAACCGAAGGTGATGGCATCCTTGTCGATGACCCCGCCCACGTTCTCCTGGGCAATCATCCTCGCACCTTCGTCCGTCTTCACATTCTTCACCAAAGAGAAGCCTTGCTTCGCGATGTTCTCGAGGTGAGCCCTGGCCGCTGCATTTTCCACACACGAAGGCAGCCCGGGACATCGCACAACCGCAAAGGGGTCGAAGGTATCTTTCTTCCGAATGAGGCTGTCCAAAGCCTGCTTGGTGGTGTAAATGTCGCCGCCAAAGTAGTTGTAGAACATCTCTGCCAAGTCCTCGTCCATGCTCCAATCATCCTTCAGCATCTTGAGCATGTCTGACTCTGGCACTTCGCCGATGACAATGATGTTGCCGGTGTCCCTGAGGTCTAACCCTGCAGCTTGCAGGCGGAAGGGATAGCCAAACTCTGAGGAGACCAGGATCACACTTGCTTGACTTGTCTCCTTGGTCCACTTCGTGAGGGCTTGCAGAGCTGATCCAGCTACAACGCTTCCATCTCCAGCATTCATTCCAGGTAGTGCCAAATTTGCTTCATCGATGATGATGCTCGGGATCTTCCTGCTTCGGGAGATAAAGTTGTCGATGTTGACTTGACAATGTGATGTTGCGACACCTAACGCTTCCTTAGCCACCGCTCCAGCTTGACTGAGTCCACTAATCTTCAGGGCGTAGTTGACAGGCAATCGGATGACTGCACCCAACATCTCCAACGAGAGACGTGCCCACCCAAGGGATTTCAGACGTTGCAAGTTGAGTGCCGTCATCAGATCCTTGCCAAGCATGTCTGCGTCCCGCATGTTGACTGAAAGGATGTTCACTGCTGCCTTGCATCTAGCAATAGCCTTTTCCTTGAGCAGTGTCTTGCCCAAGTTTTTGCCCCCAAGCACCAGACAAAGTCTACCTTTTATTTGCATCTGTTCGCAGAGGTTGGCAATAGCATCATCGCGATCTACTGCATCTCTTCTCTGCAGAAACGCTGTGGCTGTACGGTTGACCTCTGTGAGGTATGAACCTGTCGTACTATTGGCTGCATTGGCTACTGTGGTGGCAACTTCCCAGAAGCTCATATTCTTCAGCGACAGGCGGAGGCATGCTCGGCATCGTTGCGAGCTCACTTGGTACAACCCCACACGTGGCGGTGCAACAAAGCACCCCACACCGCAGGCGAGGAGCATGCACCAAATTGCACCACGCCCATGGCGTCGCGCACCATCTCTCATGGGTGCTACAACGGCTTCAACCAGTAATGGCAACAAATTATGTGAAAGTCCATTTGTGTTCTTTGAATAGTTGACTTTTGCGACGATCTTTGGTAAAGGTTGACCATGCAAAGTCTCTGCGCGTCTTAACACATCTCTGTGTGATTGTGTCAAATGTGAGTCCTGTCAGGAAGTAAGGTTGATA